GCGAGACCCCTGGGACCCCTCAGGGTGCCCAGCCTGCTGGGAGCCACTCGAAGGGGAACGTGCTATGTCTGACCTGCAAAGCCCCAGGTGGCCGGGGGCCAGCATGCCCCTGCCTGGCCCTCGCGGCCTGGAGACCAGCCTGGGTCTCCTGAGGGTCCCCTCGGCCGACGGAGACAGGGATATTCCCAGCTTGGCCCCAAAATAGCCAGTGACCTGGAGGGCTGGGAGGGGAGTGCAGCTCCTTGGGCGGGTGTTCGGGGAGGGTCAAGGCGGGTGAGGGGGAAGCAGGGCCAGGCAGAGGAGACCCTGTGCATCCCGAGGGCTTTGTCCGGGGTCTGAGTGTCCCCTCTGACCCAATGCAGGGGGACCGAGGGGCTGTCACCCACTGTGGCCGGGCACAACGGCAACCCCAGCGCCCACCGTGAGCCATCCCTCACGGGAGAAGGGATGTTCTGTATTCCCCAGGCGCTCTGACTGGGATGTTCCTGCCAGTGTGCTGGTCACGGGCTTTATTTCCTGTGACCTTCAAGGTCTTTATATAAAGTCCGTCTCCCCTCTCCACCTCCTTCTCCCTCCTGTTTCCCCTACATGGTCTCCAAATCCATCACAAGGCGAATTGTGCTGATCTGCAGATGGCCGGCTGATGAGCAGCAAAATGGGCCGAAGGTTACGGGCTTAACACCCTCCGCGCGTCCGCCGGAGGCTAAAAATACAGCCCAGCAACTGTACGGGGGAATCAGAAGGAGCAGCTCGGCGGGGGGAAGATGGTGAACCCCCAGCCCCCTCGGCCGCTGGCCCCAGCCCCTCGCCCCGCTGCCAGCCAAGGGTGACGTCCACACCTGGGGCCCGTCCTGCGGGTCCCCACGGACTCCGGGAGGGAGCGGGGACAGCCAGGTTGTAAAGTGACACTGGGGCTCCCCTCGTTCATGCTCTGCATTGTGCCAAGCAGCCGGATGGCATCGGAGAGGAGCCCTTGCCCCGCTCCCCTTGGGGACCTACCCGCCCAGAGGGTCCCCGGCTTGCGATGCCACTGCCCGCCCCGAATCTCATGCCTGTCTGCAGGGGCTGGGAGGGCTGTCAGCTGCGTGGGGACCCTTTCCCCAGTGGTGACAGCACCCTGGGGCACAGCTGCGGGGACAGAGAGCTCACGGCGGGGCTCTGTGTGCCACAGGATGCCACAGCTGGCTTGCACCCGGGAAAAGCCTGTGCGGAAAGGATAAGGACGGCTGCTGGAGGCTGAACGTGACCCTGCCACGGTGTCCCCTCCATCCCTGCATGGGGCCATATGGAAAGACAACGGCC